CAACCACAGAGCATACTCAGACAGAACCTTGACTCAGTTACCAAGATAAATCTTTTATGATGTAGAAGATCAGACTATGCTGCAACCACAGAGCATACTTAGACAGTACCTTGGCTCTAATACCTATTGTTGCGGAAGCCAAATGTATATAGTGTGAATGAGTCACAACTACTATACCAAAAATTATGGCAGCCGCCAAATAATAAATAAGACAATAAAGCAACAACAAAAGGAACACCAGGATTTACAAGGTTCGGCCAATTTTGCCTACTTTCTCGGACACAACTAATATTTTATTCCACTCCAAAAATACAAGTGAAATAATACTAAAGAGAGAAGATACACATGCCTTAAGAAGATAAGAAGACAAATGAGAGGTGTGTCTAAATCCTAAACATTAGGCCTCCTTTTATAGGGAAAAATTCCCTACCAAATGGCTAAACCACCGATGTGGGATTTGCCAAATTCAACATAATATCAAGTCTCTAGCTTTGCTTTAAATTTTAGCCCTTAAATGCATCTTTATTGCACGGTTTAACATTATTCGGTTCTTCTTGATTTTGGGACGACGCATTAGTTGGTATTTCAAAGAGTAATAAGCTCTGTGTGCTAGAAAATTTGAGAATCTCGTATTCCTCCATTTTGCAGTTGAAAGAGTTTTTGTTAAGCCAACAAGAAGCATATGAGGTTAAATTAGGGGACCAACTATTTCGAAGACCAGGAGATCCTCCTTTCGAAGAAGCATTTGAGAAGATCCAGACTGAGAAAAGTAAAGTGGATCATACCAGCTCAAAAGAGAAGAATAGGCATAATGAGTTGTAATAACCAGTAAAAACCTCTTCACAGCTAATTTTGATCAATTATATTCTAACGTGTATTATCAGAAGGCAGGTGTACATGGCTGGCATCTTACACAATCTCCTCCTCTTAACATTTGATACCGTGAGCTTACCAATTTTATGCTCTATTTGAAAAGTAAGCTGTACACGTCCATTTATATCAACGAATTCTTTTGATTTTGATCAATGAACATTGTGCTGGGAAATATCTGTTGTTGGAGTAATGAAAGCTCATAAGGGACTGTATGTTTTTCACAAATTATGATTGGATTGAACTTAATTAGGAGAGGCTAGTGCAATTTAACCTGTTCTAGCAGTCTTATTTTCTAGGTAGCTAGTTCTACTTATTATAGGCAGCTACCTATAATTATCTCTTAGGTGACACAGAAGTTGAAACTCATTACTCCCTCCGTTTCAATTTATGTGAACCTGTTTGACTGGGCACGGAGTTTAAGAAAAAAATAAAAACTTCTGGAATTTGTGGTCCTAAACAAGTCCAAATGGAGCCCAGAGTATTTGTGTGGTTATAAAAGCTTCTCATTAAAGATAAAGTTGTAACTTTAAGCTAAATTGTTACCAAATTTAGAAGGGTTGATTCTTTTTGGAACGGACCAAAAAGGAAATAGGTTCACATAAACTGGAACAGAGAGAGTATGATTTATGAATGGGGGTTTGGACCTTGAGAGAGCATTCTCTAAATCCTGAAGATAAAATCATTTTTATTCAAACATAACATAAACCATCCCACAAACTAAATTGTGTATACATTGGGATGACCAGAGCGGGCAAGATGCTGAATACATAATTTTATAAGAAAATTATGGATATCGGAGGATATTGCAGCAGACCCTCTTATTTAATAAAAATTGTAAGTTAATTGGAAGAATACAAGATTATTTCAGCTTATTGCTGAAGTCAGAGAGCCCAAGAAGGCGAATTCTGGGAATGCTAGCAGCTTCCTCCCTTTCCTTTTGAGTATTGTAACCCCAGTCCCCTGCTTCCAGAAAATCAGACCAGCAATCAGTACAACATAGCAATTAGCCAATAAAAGTGAATCCCAAGAGGAAAAAAAATGAATTAGTACGATGCATCTATAAGAAACAAAGAGAGTATGGTAAGTCACCTAAATACAAGTTCCATCCATCCAACTCGGACTCTTTAATCACGTTCTTTAAAGTAGCAAGTCGGTCTTCCACAAAGCTGATCAATATTGAGAAAAGTGGACGCACTTAATTTCACGCAGTAGAACCCATATGGCTATCTATCCAAAAGAAGTTTAAGTAGTTCCGATGCTAGAAAAATCTTACTGTAGGGTCAGACCCTGGTGTTCTGGCATTTCCTGAAGTTGCTTAAGCACTTTCACTTTAGGGCTGATAAAAAAGAAGTATCATCTGAGCACGAGTATATGCTTGAGATAAGCAACACGGATGATAATGTCTCTTGCTATTGCAATTAACTTAATCCAACCTCACATGCGTAAAGTAAACTTACCCTGTGCCCAGACCATATATCCTTTCAACTGGAATAGTTATCCCAGCAAGCTCTCTAAGTAATGCATCTGCAAAGCGGCTCTGCAAATGGAAGTGGAGAATCAATGTCAGATTCAGAGTATAAATATTAGATTCAACAGTTTAACTCAACGCCCTATGATCCCAATTCCTCATTCCTCAAGAACTAGCTAAAGATTTAAAAAATAAATATCTTTTATGCATGGTGAACATTTCAGGATAAATTAGTTTGAAATATATTTTCTTCACATTCTAGCAAACCTGCTTCGTTGTTACTATATAGAGCTTTGAACTTGCAAATTTCAGTGCATCAGGAACTCCAGGATAAAACCTGTAGAGAAAGCAGCAAAAAATTTAGTATTTTTCAACGCAGTAAAAACTTTGCCATGATATAGGTGATTCTAAAAATGACAACAAAATGAGCACCAACCAACTTATAGTTTCGTGTTCAAAGTAACTGATATAGCATTTGTCATTCTGTATTCTTTATGTTCATTAACGGATCATAAATTAGCAAAAAGATTAGGGCTAATCAGGACATTCAAGTGGTTGATATGACTTACCTGTTTGTACCAATCCAAGTAGCCAAATCATTGTCCATCCATTCATCTCTAACCTTACCAAAAAGATCTATAAGAGAATCCCTGTCTTCATTCCATTCTGCCACTATAATGGGTTTTATCTTTGCCCAGTTCTCAAGTATTCCCTCAACTGTTAGTCCCTCTGCAACCTATAACGTTAAGACAGGTATTACCTCGACAAATTTTAAGATACATCAACTGTAATGAATAGATTTGCATTATCAAATCCAAGACACTTTAAATTTTTTTTCCTTGCGTACCCACCGAAGACTTGCGGATTGAAGGGATTCTCGTCTCTAAGAGCAGCCTCACAAGTAAAAGATTTTCATATCCAGTTTCCACCACAGGCCTAACCTGCAGAAAGTTTGAAGGTTATCACTTCTATATTACTGTAAATTGAACACAATTGGCACCAGTATATGGATCTGAAATATGATTGGTACTTTAGTAGAAAATAGTACCCTTGGACAATTCAAATATTACCTAATTTCTCCTCACTACTTCTGTTACCTCCCCTAATTCACAAGGTACCCCCAACTAAAAGATAAATAAATAATAAATCAAAGGAAAATCCATTGCTGAGAGTCAAAAGCATGAAAATTCGGAGCACCATCAGCATTTCCAAGGACGAGACACTTATGAGTTTGAAATGCGCATTTCACCTGGTTTTTGCTATTACATAGCACCCAGAGTGATCATCGGTCCATTGACGACATCACTGATTTCAACAGTTCACATGATTAAACACACACACGACAAACCAACACAGCAAAACTACTAGCCAAGGCATTCATCCCAGATGGATATGCTGAGAATATTTAACAATAGACTTACGACAAAGGCAAACTCATGTGAAGTGTGAACTGAACTGGCGATGACATTATATTCAATGTGTGATTCTTGCGCTTTTTAGCTCTTTATATTAGTGACAGTTCTCATGGAAAGAGAGTTTGTTTTTCTGTCAAAGAAGCATGCTTAACTCAATCTATAGCGTAACAACATTATAGTCGCGTCTAGACTAAATTAATGTAAAGAGCTTGCCCAATACCACCAGTACCAGAAATGTATCTCCTTCGTCTGCACGAACAGCTTTCTTTCTGCTACTTTACTTATACTTTGACTTTCTAAGAAGTACTTACGTAGCTAAGTCTCAAAATTAGATATGGAAACCAGATCAAGTACAAACATGAACTAGACTCGTTCCAATGTACCTCAAAAAGGAAATGAACAAAGAAAGAATAATATTTTGACAAGTTAACACAAAAAGAGAAAAGAAAGACGACGACAACAACAACAACAGCTACTACTTAAGCTTCGGTCCCAAACAAGAGTTTGGATCGGCTATGTGAATCCTGATCACGTTACTCCATTTAAACTTATCTCAAGCCAATATTATGCAAATACAAATAAAAAGTAAAAAAGGTTATGTATATTTCTAAACGTTATAAATCTCTGAAAGGCTAAACCACTCCTAAAAAGCATAGGAGCTATAGAGAAAAGAAAGAAAGAAAGAAAGAAAGAAAGAAAGAAAGAAAGAAAGAAAAATTTAAACTTACCACATGCATTTGATCCACAATCCAATCTTCCAAAGAAGAGTCCACTCCATTGAATAGACTGGGCCATCTCACTTTAGCAGCCTGCAAAACCAACAAAATTTCAAAAAATAAGGGCAAAAGGGGGCAATGAATTGAATAATGGGAAGCAAAACAGGCAATGAGTTTGCAAGTAAAAAGATATATGACCTTAACAGCAGAAAGAGAGCTCTCTCCACAACTGTCACAGAGAACTCCGTCAAAATCTAAGGCGTACAAATCCTCCATCTAATATCCCAATCCAAACAAGGCTCGGTCACCCTGCGCCTGTGGCTAAACCTGTGGGATGAGTTTAACACCCGCCAATCAAATTTGATCAAATACTTGGGGACTCAATTGAACATTTTGATTTATTTGTAAGATCATGTCGTTTTATTGATTCTGTGCCTCCCGGCATTTGTCCTGATCCGACCCGGAACACAGACTAGTACTTTAGTCATTTGATCATTTTTAGATCAGTTTTAATTTATGTGGGGGTAAAAGAAGAGTTTTGAAATTAATATTTTTTTAGTTATAAGACTTTTGAGACTTATAATTTTAAATATGTCATAATATTTATATAGTTATATAAACTTCTCACCAAGAATAGAATGAACAATATTTTAAAGTGTTTTCAAATAGAAGTATGTCACTTTCTTTAGACGGGCTAATAAGAAACTACAATCATATAAAATGAAGTATATTGTCCAATGTTTTAGAACAATGTCATTTATTAATATGAGTCATTTAATGTAGTTTAACATTTTTTTTATTTATCAATTTTAGTGCTTCTTCACTCCAAAAAGTAATAACAACAACAACCCAGTAAAATTTTACAAGTGGGGTCTGGAGAGGGTAGTATGTACGCAAACCTTATCCCGATTCCGAAGGAGTAGACGCTATTTTCGGAAGACCCTCGGCTCAAGATAATAAGAAAAACAAAAAGGAAAGAATATTAGTTTCACCACAGAGATCATAGGAAAAATAGGAACATAAAATGCAGAAGAAAAAATGCAAAACAAAAATGATGGCTAGTAAATAGGTCCTGCACCGAAAAGAGAAAATAGTAAGACACGACAATGCCCCGAGCTATTTCAGACAAAAACCCTACCAGACTAGGCTCACAACAGTACAAGGTAATGCAAGACTCAGCTACCTCATAACCTACAACCATAATACTCGACCTCCATAACTTCCTATCAGGTGTCATGTCCTCGGAAATCTAAAGCATCGCCATATCCTGCCTGATCACTTCTCCCCAATACTTCTTAGGCCGCCCTCTACCTCTTCTCGTGCCCTCCACAACCAGTCGCTCACACCTCCTTACTAGAGCATCTGGGCTTCTCCTCGGTAAATGTCCGAACCATCTGAGCCTCGCTTCCCGCATCTTATCATCAATGGGAGCCACGTGCACCTTCTCCCGAATATCATCATTTCTAATCTTGTACATCCTAGTGTGCCTGCACATCCACCTCAACATCCTCATTTCTGCTACTTTCATCTTTTGGATATGTGAGTTCTTAACAGACCAACACTCAGCCTCATACATCATGGCCGATCTAACCACCGCTTTATAGAACTTACCTCTGAGTATCGTTGGCACACTCTTGTCACACAAAACTCCGGATGCTAACCTCCACTTCATCCATCCTACCCCAATACGGTGTGCGATATCCTCATCGATCTCCCTTCCCCCGTGGATAACCGAACCAAGGTACTTGAAGCTGCCTCTACTTGGGATAACCTGTGATTCAAGGCTCACATCCATGCCCACTTCCCCCGGCTCAGTGTTGAACTTACACTCCATGTATTTCGTCTTCGTTCTGCTCAGCTTGAAACCTTTAGACTCAAGTGTCTGTCTCCAAACTTCTAGTCTCTCGTTAACACCGGCTCGTGACTCATCAATCAGAACTATGTCATCGGCAAATAGCATGCACCAAGGCACCTCCCCTTGAATATGGTTTGTTAATGCATCCATCACCAGGGCGAATAAGAACGGACTGAGCGCAGAGCCTTGGTGTAACCCCATTTCAACCGGAAAATGCTCAGAGTCGCCTTCTACTGTCCTAACCCGAGTCTTAGCCCCATCATACATGTCCCTAATCGCTATAATATAGGGAACCGACAAACCTTTTGTCTCCAAGCATCTCCAGAGAACTTCTCTAGGAATCTTGTCATACGCTTTCTCTAGGTCAATAAACACCATGTGCAGATCCTTCTTTCTCTCTCAGTACAGTTCTACCAACCTCCTAACAAGGTGTATAGCTTCTGTGGTAGAACGACCCGGCATGAACCTGAACTGGTTGTCGGATACAGACACTATCATCCTCACCCTCGCTTCAATGACCCTCTCCCATACTTCCATGATATGACTCAGTAATTTAATACCCCTATAATTGTTACAACTTTGGATATCACTTTTGTTCTTATACAAGGGAACCACCGTACTCCACCTCCACTCATCCGGCATCCTCTTCGCCTTAAAAATAACATTAAACAACCTAGTCAACCACTCCAAACCTGCTCTCCCTACACACTTCCAAAATTCTACCGGAATCTCGTCTGGTCCGGTTGCTCTGCCCCTACTCATCTTACGCATAGCCCCCACAACCTCCTCAACCTCGATACGCCTGCAGTGCCCGAAGTCACGGTGACTCTCGGAATGCTCCAATTCGCCTAACACAATATCCCGATCCCCTTTTTCATTCAGAAGTTTATGGAAGTAAGTCTGTCATCTCCTCTTAATCTGGGCATCTTCCATCAATATCTTACCATCTTCATCCTTGATGCATCTCACTTGGTCCAAATCCCGAGCCTTCCTCTCTCTCAACTTGGCCAGCCGGAATAACTTCTTCTCCCCGCCCTTTTCCCCTAGTTCCTTGTACATACGACCATAAGCCGCAGTCTTAGCTTCCGTGACTGACAGTTTAGCTTCCTTTCTAGCTACCTTATATCCCTCCATGCACGCTCGCCTCTCCTCCTCACCTCGCCTTATTTAAATAATGACCCTTTTATTATTTAAAATCTTAAATGTTTCCTTTAACCATGAATTTTAGACGTTTTAAAGTTTTTAAGCAGAAAGAATTTTATGATTCATACTTAAGTGGATTAAGGTGTGATTATAATAACTGACAGGTACTAAACAACCTTATAAGTTAACTTTCGTGCAAGTCAAATTATAGAATAGAAAAGTTAGCATCCTTGGGGATTGATTTCTCTATTAAACAAATTAATTTAACTTTATTACTATTTGTGAAATCATAAAAGGTGTGAGAGTTGGTTAACTAAACAATGATATTAAAATAAATTTGTTTAAAAGCGAAGGAAAGGAGGACAAGTAAGATCGAATTTGATTCAATTAAAATAATGTTGGAACTCTTGACTTCGCTTGGTGATTGAATTAAGACATCGATTTATTCTATCCCTCACCAAATCATCAACGAGTTAAAATGCTTCTCACGGAAACATTCATCTACTATTCTACTGTACCGTTTCTAACATGAAATACTCATTTCGGTTATGCAACTACTCATATAATTATTTCATGTGTGATTCAATCTACTAATATGAAAGACTTATTTCGATTATCTTGACTAACTAATTAACACATCACCTAAATCTTCTCTATGGGTTAAGATCAAGACTAGTATTAAAAGTGATATGAAGAACTAAGTAGATTCAAATAACTAATCCTTTCTTTCGACTAAGAAATAGCATAAATTCATCAACAGTAACTCATAAATATAAACACCCATCAAAGAAGGTTAGAAGGCCTTCCGCTTGATTCAATAAATTCTAAAAGCAACAAATGGGAGTATTAATGGTAGAATAACAAATGAGGTAGAAAAAAATTTAAACTTAAATTAATGTACAAAGATTCATCAAATTCCCAAATAGAAAGTCTACTCCACAGTATAGTTTAAATTGTCAAAAATGCAAGCAAGCTTTACATATGCCATTAATTAATTAAATAAAGGGAGAGAAAGTTAAGAGTAAGCTTCACAAATATAATAGCCTGTTTGGCCAAGCTTTTTTTTAGGGGGGAGGGGGCAAAAGTTTTTTTTTTTGGCCCAAACCACTTTAAGCCAAAAGTTGAGGTGTTTGGTCAAACTTTTGGAAGGAAAAAAGTGCTTTTAAGGAGAAGCAGAAACAATTTTTGAGAAGCAGAAAAAGAAGCTTTTCTCCAAAAGCAGTTTTTTGAGAAGCACTTTTGAGAAAAATACACTTAGATGCAGTTTTCAAAAGCTTGGCCAAACATTAATTACTGCTCAAAAGTGTTTTTCAAATTAATTAGCCAAACATAAACTGCTTCTCACCAAAAATATTTTTTTAAAAGTATTTTTGAGAAAAACAGTTCTCAAAATAAGCAGATTTTAGAAGCTTGGCCAAATAGGCTATAAGCCTCTATTTCTCTTGTAGCTTGAACTTGGGTAAAAATGGTGAAATCTTTTCTAGCTTAAATCTTCTCTTTTAGGGCAAGGGGAGGTAAAAGTCCTTCTAAAAGAGTCAAAGTCTTCTATTTACATCACTTGGAGTTAGCCCTAAAATACAATAAAACATAGCAGAAACTTGCTATAATTGTTGCTCCAGCAAGAAGGATAAAAACTGACACTTTAGAAATTTCACCCATTGTTGGAGTAATAGCACCTACGAATTCAACAATAACCCTGATTATAGTAATTTGCCCAAAACTTATCTCGACAAATCTTTTTTATCTTCAACTTCTTTCAATTTTCATTCTTTGGTTCTGCAATACATTATTTTGATACTTCTTTCTTCAAACTCATCAATCTTCTTTCCAGAACCAAAAGAACACAAAATTATAAGAAAACACTATAGATTCAATCAATTCAACCACCAAAGTATAGAATTTATGCATACAAATGCATATATCTGGGAGAGCTATCAAACTCCCCCACACTTAATATTTTGCTCGTCCTTGAGCAAATATAAAATGAATTTTAGAGAGATCACACCATGCAATTTCAGTGATATAATCCACCATAAGTTTTTCCAAAATTTAATCCTCCGCTTTGTACAAAAATCATATCTATGATTTCTATGAGTTAAAATGATTTTGTCTAATTCATATCCACTTCAACTTTTCAATTGCCTCAATAGAGCCAATGTGTATGATTCAAACTCAACAAAAATAAAATACCAGCCAACTTAAAATCTTATAATCAAGTTTTCCAAATGTTATCCATCATCTTACTTTTCAATTCAAAATTCTAACCTTAGGGATTGACATGAAGTGTACCCAAATGTAACGATCCGATCAGTCATTTCAAGCTTTAGCAATCTTTTCGACAGTTTAAGACTTTGAGTAGCTTCATATGATGTATTATAACTAACGTGAATGGTTGGTTT